TCAATTCTCCACTCCGCCACTGACTCCCTGTTTGACCCTGAGCAAGTCACTTCATCGCTCTGGTTTTTCCCCGTCTGTACAAGGGAGGAGAAAAAAATCCTTCCTTGGTCCGTCTTTTCTGTTTCGAGAGTGAGCTTGTGGGGGGAGAGAATCTCTCTTCCTCGGCGCCTGTGCTGCACCCAGCAGGAGCTCAGTGGGGGTGGGGGCACAGTCCTATAAAGTGAAAAGGTGTTAAGGTCTGGGATTTGGGGAAAACTCCCAGCCCTGTGTACTCTGTGTGGTGCTAAAGAGCCGAGGGCGCTGCCCGTAACTCTGTCGCTCAGCCACAAGTCTGCCTCCCGCACCGGTAATGCTAATGGCCCTGGGCCTTTGGCAAAACCCCCCCCAGGTCAGGGGGGTGTTTCCTGCCTCAGCGGCGCTTTGGAAACCTCGCTGAGCTTTCAAGGTGCATCTGAAAGTCAGACTCTCCCCCTCCCTCCCACAGGGAGGCATAAACCATCGGGGCCTCGGCCACGTCAGCCGGCTCCACCACTGTTAAAGATCCAGCAGCAGCCGCTCCCGTGGGCACGGAGTCCTGGCCCCCCTGCTTCAGGCACGGTGCCTCTGGTGGCTGGCCACCGGTGTGGGGCACCCGCCCACACGCCTCCCCCGGCCCCAACGTGCAATCTGCAGCCCCACCCATGACTGCTTAAATCCAGGACCGAGTGTGACCTCATGTGGTGACAAGAGGCAGTACAGGCTGGAACTAGAGAGCCAGAGGGTGTGTCTACACTGCAGCTGAGCCCGGGTCCACAGACTTGCGATAGCGGGGGCTTGTGGGCGCGGGCTAAAAAAAGCTGTGTAAACATTGCATTGAGGTTAGGCTTGAGCCCCTGAATGGCAACATCCACACAGCTATTTTCAGTGCGCGAGGGAGCCGGCCTGGGAGATCTCCCTGCCAGATGCAGTGTAGACATAACCTGAAAGAACCCCAGGGTCTGTCCCTGTCCAGCAGCCTCAATAAAGAATCCCCTTTATATTCCCTAGAGCCGAGGCCTGTCTCTTCTCTGCACCTTTTACCATGGCCAAGCAAACCTCAGCTCCCCAGAGGAGCTGGGCCAAGAACTCGTTTTTCGGGTCACTGGCCGGACCAAAACCATTCATTTTGGGTCAACCGCCGATGAAAGTTTTTTTGGCAAACGGAGAAGTTAAAAAACGTAGAGGAAACAAAACCTTTCACGTTTGAGCTTTTTTAAAAAAAAAAAATAATTGAAGTGAATTTCTAAACAAAGTCACTTTGGATTTATTTATTTTTTTTAATTCAAACATTGTCATTTTTAAAAGTCTATTTTTAGGGTTTCCCTCCCCTCCCCCAACCACCACAAGTCAGCAAACTCAAAAAGTTTCTTGACCTAAATCTTTTAGTTAGTTAGTTAGTTAGTTTGGCCAAAAAAATAAAAATCCCAGAAAAGTCTGCCAGCGGCTGCCCCAGCTTTGACGGGAGCAGTGAACCTGCGCAGGTGGGGTAATGTAATGTTACTGTCAATGACCAGCCAATGGGAGAAGCTGTCACAGAATGTGCTGGGGGCTGTGTCATCACCTTCTCCTGAACCTGGCAGCATTCGCCAGGGGCTATAAATAGACCAACAGGGACACACCTTTTATTGCTGTTGAAACCGTTTGGGCCGGAGCATGTTTCTGGAGGGGTGGGGGCTTCCTGCAGGTGCAACGCCCGCTGCATGTCTGACTTTGGCAGCAGAGGAAGCCCGGGGAAGCTGGCTACGCGGTGTGTTACTGGAGTGCTTATGAGCAGGGCCCCGAGCATTACGCGGATCACAGTCACAGCGAGGCGACGGGGAGCTTTAGGTGGGTGTTTGACACAGATTTCTGCTGTGCCCCTCACTGAGCCTGCAGCCGCACTGCTCCCAGGCCGTGACACTGTTGGGCTTGCTCCTCGGATGGGCGACCTCAAACCACAAAGAGGCTCGTTCCACCCCGCCAGATCCCGTCACTGTGTGTCTGACAGTGGCGCGTAGAGATCCCAGCTGAGATCTGGGCCCCCTTGTGCTTGCAAGCTGAATAGAGGGGTTTCCCCCTGCTGGAACTGAGCCCCATTTCACACTGGGGGTCCCATGGCAGGGCAGGTAATGAAACCAAGATCTCCTGCCTCCCACTCCAGTGCCTTAGCCACAAAAGCAGCCTTTCTGTAGGGAGTGTTCGGATTTGGTTCTGGGCCTAGCTCTGTCTTGAGACACAGCAGGTGTTTTGGCCGGGATGACCTCAAGCCCCCGGTAGAACCCCAAGGCCAACCACGGGGTCTCTCGGCCTGCAGCATCACTTATTCTGGAGCTGCGGCAAACGCAGGCCGCAGCCGCCTGCCTGGGTGTCCTCTCTGCCTGCCCTTCGTTGCCCTTGTTTGGCGGCAGCGACAGGCCTGATCCCAGCCCTCGGTGAGAGAATCCCTAAGCACGGCGGCTCAGGGCCGCAGTAGACACGGTCTCGTCAGCAGAGAGGGCAGCAGAAGGGATGGATTGAGCAGGGGGAGTTGCGATCCGAGCTCTGGGACTGGTGTCCTTATGCACCTGAGGGTCTCTTCTTTATTCCAAACTGACACCACCCCCCCTTGGGGAAAGCTCTATAGGTCTGGAGTTTAGGTTCGTCTGGATCACGTCTATCCAGAGGCTGTTTGAGCGACCACCGAGCTCCAGAGTGCTGGGAAGCTCCCGGCGGGAGGGGGGCAGCTTTGCAAGTGTTATTTTGGCACATCGAGCTCCAGGAAGTGAATGGAAACTATCTCCCCCCACCAGGCCCTTCTGCAGCCTCCCCTCACTCCCGGGGCCCATATTACCATTGTAGCTGAATGCCTCACCATCTTACTCTATGTATCCTCACAACACCCCGGAGGGGGACAGTGCTCAGTCCCCATTGCACCAGCAGGGGACAGGGGGCCAAGAGAGACTAAGGGATGCAGGAAGCCCGTGGCAGAGCAGGGAGACAGGGGTTCGATTCCCAAGTTCCCTGCTACTGCCCTAAGCATTAGGCCTCCTTTAACTTGAGCTACGCAGTTTGGCCCTAATATGACCGCAAGAGCCTCGGGAACAGGCCCTGCAATACCAGTTAATGGGCTCCATACACCCAAGGCCTGGCTGTTGCCAATTATCTGCCAGGATCAGGGCTCATCTGTACTGTTTTAACTAGATCAGTTTGAACCTGGTATAGTTAAATTGGTACAAACCCCTATAGTTAAATTGGTACAAACCTCAGTTATACTAGTCAAAAGGTGTTTACATCCATATAGCTTAGTCCTGGTCGACACGGGGACCTTTTTGGTATAACCTAAGGTGTGAATAAATCCATCTAGTTATACCAGTATAATCCTCCAGGTGGACTCCTGCTAGGGTGACCAGATGTCCCGATTTTATAGGGACAGTCCCAATATTTGGGGCTGTTTTTTATATGGGTTCCTAGTACCCCCACCCCCTGTCCCGATTTTTCACACTTGCTATCTGGTCACCCTAACTCCTGCCCCAGTATAAAGATGACCTTTTTCCAGCTTAGCACATGCTGCTTGGGAAGGGGTTTAAGCTAAACTGAAAAAAGCCACTGTTCTACAGGAATAAGCCCAGATCTCCACTACAAATGTTTGCCAACACAGCTGTGTTGCTCGGGGGGGGGGGGGGGGGGGGGGGGGGGGGAGGGAGGGGAGGTGCAGAGGTGTGATCTTCGGCCAACAGACAAAAGTGGGAGGGAAAACAGAGACACAGAGAAGCTAAGTCAAGCTGGGTGAAGTTTTCAGATGAATAACTGATTTGCCAAAAAACTCACATTTTGAGTATGCTGGAACTTTCTGCAAATTCGGGTCAAATCTGGCAAATAGTTTTGGCTGAATTTTTTTTTTTTTAAAGTTAAACTCTTTCCACTTTTCGTTTCGAGCCGAGGTTTTGTTTAGAAGTTTAGTGAGTTTGTTCCTTTAAAAAAAAAAGGGTAAAATAAACACCCGAACACTAAACGAAACAAGCAAAAAACCCCAATCAGTTGGAGTCAAATGAAATATTTTGTTTGACGCCCCCCCCGCAAATTTTTCTCAAATGTTTCCATTCAGCCACCAAATTGAAAAATCCGTTCTTCATCCCGCTCTGAGGCCATGTCTACACGACCACTTTGGTCGGTACAACTTGCGTCACTCAGGGCTGTGAATAAACCACCCCGCTGAGCAACATAACTCACACCGACATAAGCACCGGTGTGGACAGCGCCATGTCCCACCGATATAGCTCTCGCCGCTTGTTGGAGGTGGATTCATTCTGTCGATGGGAGAGCTGTAAGCCCAGTGACATGCCCATGGTCACACAGCTGAGCAAGGAATAGAACTGAAGTTCCAAACCTCTAGCGTATGCTGCCGTCTGATTAGGATGCAATGATTTGGGGAGTGCATCAGGCTTCTATTTTCCTAACTGGATCTTCTCCCTCCCCATTGATTTCATGCCCAAACCCTCCCACCTACCTACCCACCCCGGCTCCTCTGACTTTCCCCGGTGCTGAAGCAGCACCTTGGCAGTTGGGAGCATTCCCCGCCTTCTGACAGCTCCTCTCCCTGCCTCACAGCTGGCCTGAGCCTGTCTGCAGTACTCTGGAGCAAGCAGGGAGTTGGCTCATCCACAAAACTCCATTTGTCTGGTTCAAGCCCCGCTCAGGGACACTGAGCCCGCAGTGACCGTGAAATCCAAAAGGCCGCGTGGGATCCGGTGGCGGTGCTGGGAGACCCCCATGCACAGGCTGCCCGGCCAAGGAGCGCTCTGCTTTAGCAACAAGTGCACAGACAGGATAAACAAAGGGCCGAGGGAGGGCTGCAAAGGAAGGGGAAAGTTCAGCCATTGTCTGTGTGCTGTGTCCGGTTCGCTGCGGGCCACAATGATTCTATTCATGGACACCCCCCCGCAGCATGCGAGAGTCTCCCCTTCCCCAGCGCGTCTCTTGTCTTGCGCTCTGACGCGCCCTGCGTTCGTTTGCTCTCGTTGCAGGATCACGGAGGCCGGCGCCATTCAGCAAGAGAGGCTGCAGGCCATAGCGGTAAGTGGTCCCGTCCCATCTCCTTCCGTCTTCGATATTGTGCAATGAATCCACCGGGCCTCGAGCAGCGGGTCTGGCTGCAGGTAGCATTTCGTGGCAACGTGACTGGCCCCCCTCCAGACCATGTGGTGGTAATATCAATGTGCCAAGGCCCAGACCTGGGATGCAGGGCGTCACCCTGGGCTGGAATGAGGGATAAACAGAACGGATTCATGCAGCAGCCGTATAATGCTGGTGGGATCCCTTTCTTCAGGCTGAGTAGCTCTTTCTGTGACCCCAGGGCAATGATCTAAGTACACTGCCCAGGGGGACCAGATAGACCAAGTGAGTGAACCCTGGGCGGTGTGGCAGAGGTGGCTGCACATGAGGGCTGGGTCTTGCCTATAGTTTATACAACACTATAGGCTCACTCAGCGCTCAGGGCAGCAGCCCTGGTTCCTGATTCCTGATTGTGCTAAAGCCCCTCTGGCAGCACAAAGGGACCTTAAAGTGGGTGGAAACAGCCCCCTGAGATTATTACACCCCCTCCCACCTGCAGGGGACCTCCCCCCTCAGTGCAGAGCTGGCTGTACGTGTAAGGAGGTGTCATGTTGTGCGGGGTGGCCAGAGCATTACAGCTGTTCTCAGTTTCACAAGGCCCGTCGGAGGCCATGGGAAGCGGCGCGTACGTTGGAGTAACCCCGAGGCTGCTCTCCTAGGAGGCCAGGCAGGGCCCTGAACTGGCTCAGAATACGGGGCGTGCAAAGGTCAGCTTAATCCTCCTCTTCTTTCCCACTGTCTCTGCCTTACATGCAGGAACAAGGGAACGGCGCAGCAAGCTCCCAGTCTTTCCGATCGCTGCCCCTCCTCATGGGTCTAGTTAGTTTCCCGTTTCTTCACACCGGCACTGCTGTTTGATAGCCAAGCACGGCCATCCCAGAGACCAGTGCCCTGGAGGGAAGGGAAGGTGTAGACCCCAGGGGAGCCTGGGCAGAGAGAAGACAAGGAGACTCAGAAGCTTAATCCTGACAATCCGTTCCTCCCGCGCCCTTCCAAAAATGGTGGTATTGTGATTACAGGGAAATTGTGGATGACTAACGCAAAGAAAAATCATACAAACCGCCAGGAGCAGGTGTCCTAGTTACCTGCTCTGGACCGACGCTGGGCCGGTTTTTGGAGCAGAGGAAAGGAGTCAGGATTCCTGGGTTCTCTTCCAGGTTCTGCCCCTGCTTCCCGCAGGAGCGTGGGGAAATCGCCAGGCCTTGGTATCCCCAAGCGAGAGCTACTTGTCTGGGCAGCGTGAGGCTTAATGGATGAATTAACGAACGGCCTCCCAGAGGCTGCGGTGAAAGGCAAACGAACGTCTGATTGTTCATCGCTATTACTAGTTCCCCAGCCTGGGCAATGGAAAGACGCCCAGGGCCAGATCCTCAAAGGTATTGAGGCTCTGAGCTTCTGGGGTCTGGGGCCCTTTGGATCAGGCCCCACAGGAGGGTGATTTCGTGCTTGCAAACAAGATCCCCGTGCCTACTCAGTGAATGGAGGTTTTGGCAGGGGCTGACTCACTTACCGGCGGCTGTCTAGGACCCAGTAACATGCCGGCTGAGTGAGCCGGAAGGGGCTCCTCCTGTGGGTCTGACTCCAAACAGCTGATTTCCAGGGCGCACGCATCTGGTGCCAGCTGGGCTGTGGGTGAGGCGAGATTCCCTTGCCTGTTGGCCAATGAGAGCTGATGGGGTTTGAGCTGCAGTCGCGGCTGGCTGGCTGGCTCCTTCCCAGCGGCCTGGAGATCTGGCGGATGGTGGAGTCAGTTTCTATGGGGCTTTCGCAAGTGTGCAGAGGCATCCGGTCAATGCCGTGGTTTACTGGTGGGGGCCTGACTTCTAAAGCCCAGAGAGAAAAGGGCTGTGTAAGGGAGCAGAAAGGGGCATTATTGTCAAGAGAACAGGAAGCATCATCCAGCAAGGAGCTGAGCGCCTCCTGCAAGACGCCAAGCGCCCTCCACTCCCAAAGGATCAGGCCCACGGACATAAGGTCGCTTATAACGGGAGCTCCCCAGCTCCGGGTGAATGAGGCTGCAGATGCGGAGAGCCAGCCTGGAGGCATGTAACTGCTGGGCCGTGCAGTCTCTGCCTGGTCCTCCTTTGAGCCAGAGCCAAGCGTGGTCCTCTCCCTATGGCCGCGTGTTGGCTCCCTGCCCGCACCTTTGTGTGGCCGCCTCGCCTGCCAGCTTTCCAGTCCCCACTTGCGATCGGGCCGGTCGCTGCCACACAAAGGGCAGATTGTTCTGGGCCGGGGAAGAAAACGTGTGACGCTTCCCAGGATCGGGATGTGGCTGAACCGACTCGGATGAAATAATCCGGACCGATGCCCAACAATGGGGCAAGGACTGGAGGTGGCTCGGATCTTCTCCGAGGGCTGGGGAAATCCAGTTCTCGTCTCGTTTCCGGGTGGAAAAAGCAAGGCCCAGCCTATGAGGCAGTGACGACTAGCGGACAGAGGCACTAGACTAGCACCCAGGAGATCTGTTTTCTATTCCAGGCCCTCTCACTGATCTGCTGCATGACCTCGAGCAAGTTACTTCAGCTCCGCATCTGTGGACTGGGAGTAATCACGCTTGTGGGAGGTCATTCTGGCTGTTTTAGCCCTCTGTGTCCCAGTGCTAATGGGGTTAGAGCAGCACTCCAGCAGGAAGAGCACGCTTGGGGTTAAAGACTTGGGAATCATTAGAAAAGGGATGGATAATAAGACCGAAAATATCATCTTGCCTCTATATAAATCCATGGTCCGCCCACATCTTGAATACTGCGTGCCGATGTGGTCGCCCCATCTCAAAAAAGATCTATTGGAATTGGAAAAGGTTCAGAAAAGGGCAACAAAAAACGATTAGGGGTATGGAACGGCTTCCGTCTGAGGAGAGATTGATAAGACTGGGACTTTTGGAAAAGAGCTGACTGAGGAGGGGATATGATGGAGGTCTATAAAATCATGACTGGTGCGGAGAAAGTAAATAAGGACGTGTTGTTTACTCCTTCTCATAACACAAGAACTAGGGGTCACCCAATGAAATGAATAAGCAGCAGGCTTAAAACAAACAAAAGGAAGTATTTCTTCACACTACGCACAGCCAACCTGTGGAACTCCTTGCCAGAGGATGTGTGAAGACCAAGTCTATGACGGAGTTCAAAAAAGAACTAGATAAGTTCATGGAGGATAGATCCATCAATGGCTATTAGCCAGGTGGGGCAGGGATGGTGTCCCTAGCCTCTGTTTGCCAGAAGCTGGGATTGAGCGACGGGGGATGGATCACTTGGTGATTACCTGTTCTGTTCATTCCCTCTGGGGCACCTGGCATTGGCCACTGTTGGAAGACAGGATACTGGGCTGGATGGACCTTTGGTCTGACCCATTATGGCCGTTCTTATGTTCTTAAAGACCCAGAACTTGGAGTCGAGGTGACTGGGTTCTTTTTCCAGATGTGGGGAGAGTAAGATCTAGCAGTGAGAGCAGGGAATTGCGAGTCAGGACTTCTGGGCTCCATTTTCAGCTCTGCCGCTGTCTCACTGTGTATGCTTGGCCAAGTCCCTTCCCCCTTCTGGGCCTATAATGAGATTTCCCTGTCTCACTGTGCTGTTTAGGGGGCTTGACTCATTTGCGTTAATAACGGGCTTGGAGAAGGCATGATAGATCACAGCGTGATCTAGTGGATAGGGCACCAGATTGGGAGTCTGGAGCCCTGGGATCTATTGTCCATTCTGCCACTCGCCTGCTGTGTGATGCTGGGTGAGTCACGTCCCCTGCCTGTGCCTCAGTTTCCCCTCCCACCCGTTGTCTGTCTCTGTTTCATTTATAAGCTCTTTGGGACAGGAACTGTCTCTCATCGTGTCTCTGTGCAGCGCCAGGCACGATGGGGCCCTGATCTCAACTGGGCTTCTTGGCTTTATTGCAATAGAAATAATTCATAGTAATAATACTTGAGGTCCGAGTTCACTTTGGCCCTGGGAAAACAAGAATTCTGGGCATGTGTATGAATGTTGTTCCCTTCAAATTAGGGCAGGCATCAATTGCAAACAAGAGCCGTTATTGTCTGAGCAGCACAGGCTCTCATTTAGTCTGAAATACACGTGCTTCAGCCAGTGTAATTAAATTAAAATTCTCCTGGGAGAACACGGGGGTAAGCGAAGGGCAAATATATTTCATGAAAACCTGTTACATAGCGCAAATACATTGCAGATGTCCGATGAAACCCGGGGCTGCAGCACGTTCGTCCACCCATGCTTGGTCCTTCCAGCTGGGACTCCAAGTGGCTGTACAGCTAATACTGCGACAGTAATTTATAGAAAGCCTCACTGAGACCAAGACCCCGTTGTGCCAGGTGCTGTACATGCAGACAGTCTCCTCCCCAAAATGCTCACAATCTGAATAGACAAAGGATTATTATCCCCATTTTACAGATGGGGGAACTGAGGCACTTGTCTAAGGGCAGGGGAAGTCTGTGGCAGAGCCAGGACTAGAACCCAGCTCTCCTGAATCCCTGTCCAGACCATCCCTTTTTTTCCCACTAGGGCCCAAACTGGGACAGCCGGGAACTGATTTTCAGAGCTGCTGAGCGCCCGTGACAACAGTCTCAGGGCTGCTCTACTGGCCACTAACTGTGGATCCGCAGGGCCTAGCGATGCCCCAGCTGGGCCTGTCGCAGCGGGAGCGAGACCGAACACGTGGCAGATGCGCGGGGGATCTGAAGGGGAATGGGGAATTCCAATCGCAGCTGGAGAGCCTGGGCCTCGATATTTGTTCTTTCCTTATCGTCTTCCTGAACCCGAAAGGAAAAACCTCGAGCATGTTTGCTCTGAGTGCAGAGAGTAGACGCAATAGCTGCCCTGAGATCGGCCGTTAGAATGTTCCAGGCTCCTGCCCAGTCGCTGTCGCTCAAAAGCTAAGTACAGCGAATCGATCCAGGCACAAACACCAATCCCAGACCGTGGGGCTCGGAAATCCAGGCCGTCGAGTCAGGCAGCCATTCCCCTTTCTCCAGGCATCAACGATTTAGGATGCGTTCTATGTGCCGCGGTCACACATTGTGCAGCTGTGGGGCATTGGCCGTGTAGCTGCCAGGCATTGGTGGGGCAGCGGTTTATTGTAAATGTAGCTGTTGTGCGTTGGTTGTGTAGTGCCTGGTGTAGCTGTTGTGCATGGTTTGTTTAGCTGCCGTGCATTCTTTGCGTAGTTGTGCATTGGGTAGGTAGCCGGGGAGCATTGCTTGTGTCGTTGTGGATAGGGCCGTTGTCGAGCGTTGCTTGTTTGCGTAACGGTTGTGCATTGTGGCGGTGGTGAGCGTTGGGAGTGTAGCTGCCGGGCTCGGTTTGTGTTGCTTGTTTGCATAGCTGTGTAGTTGTGAAGCGTTGTTTTGTGTAGGTGTGGAATGTATGTGCCGCTGTTTTGCATCGGGTGTGTATTGTGTAGCTACAATTTCCAGGTAAGATAAAAACGAGGACAAATTATGCGGGGGGCAGGGGGGAATGGAAGGAACAAACCCTAAAGGAGCGAGAGAAAAGCAGAACAACGTGGAGGGGGCCTGCCCCATCCACGCCTCCTGCATACCACAGTGATGGTGCAGCAGCAAGGGCTGAGAGGGGAGAAATCTCAGCTGTTGTTGAGGGGCGGGGGGGGGGAGGGGAAGCAATTTCTTGAGTCAGTGAGAAAGGTCAGTCCAGTTAAAATTGCCTCTGAAAACTTCAGGCTGGTGTAAATCAGCCTCGCTCCCATTGGCGTCAATGGGGCTGTACCGATCTACACCTGCTAAGGACCCAGCCCGACACCTGCCCACCGGGTCATGGAAACCGTGCCACCTGTGCCTCCCCACGAGCGCTGGAGCTCAGCGGCTTTGCAGATGGCAGGAGGGACTGACTGAATCACTGACCCACGGGGGAAATGGCTGGAGACCTGACCGAGGGCCCGTGTTTAAGCGCACGGGTGAGCCAGCCCCCCTGACGTCAATGGGACGCCCCGCCTTCTGAAAGCTAAATCCGGCCACGTCTGTCCTAACAAACATGATTACCACGAATTCATCCTTTTCTCCCCCCCCCCCCCCTTCTTCGTCTTTTCCTTCTACGCTCAGGAGAAGAGGAAACGTCAGATCGAGATCGAAAATAAAAGGCGGCAGCTCGAAGACGACAGACGCCAATTACAGCACCTAAAGGTAGCAACGCGGATCTGGGGCCAATGCCGCAGGGCTGAACCTGAGCGGGACCCGAGCCAACCGCAAAGCATGCCCCGAACCTCAGCCCAGTGTCGCTGAGAGAGAGGGTTCGGGGTTTGCCTGGGTCTTACGAGACGTGGGGTCAGTTCCCAGCTCTGCCACCGACCCCCTGTCCAGCCTTGGGCAAGTCACTTAGCACCAGATTGGTCAAGGTATTTAGGTGCCTAACTCCTCATTTTGGGGGTTAGGCACCGAAATATGTTTAAAAATCTGGCTTGGAGCTTCTCTGGGCCTCCGGTGCTATCTGTGAAGTGGGGTGTCACAGAGTGTGGGGGGACACAAGGCCCTGCACCCCCGGCTTCCTGTGATTCACCATGACTCTCAGCCAGCCAGTAAAGCAGAAGGTTTATTTAGACGACAGGAACACAGTCCAAAACAGGTCTTGCAGGCACAAACAACAGGATCCCCCCCAGTTAGGTCCATCTTGGGGTCCCAGGGCACCACAGCCCCCTTGGGAGATCAGAGCCTGTCTGCCTCCCAGCCATTCCACCAGCCAGCTCCTGAAACTCTCCCTTCAGCGACCCCTCCCACAGCCTTTGTTCAGTTTCCCTGGCAAAGGTGTCACCTGGCCTCTAACCCCTTCCTGGGTTCTCATGTTACATGCTCAGGTATCTTCCCTCAAGGCCAGTCTTCCATCCCCCAATGCAGACCGTCCTAGCCAACCTCCCCACTCAGCATTCAAAGACCACATTAAGAACAGTCCCAGTTCGTCACATGGGGTAATGCTACTGCCCTTCCTTACAGGCTGTTGGGGGGTGAATAAAGACTGTGAGGTGCTCAGGAGAGCACAGAGGTGGACACTTTTCACATGGTTAGTGGGGTGGGGGAACCATTCCCCAAAAACGGTGCGACCCTTAAAATGTGCTTTATCCTTTATCCACCTTCCCCTCTGCACGCAGGTATTCAGTTCAGTGTTTCCTTGCACGGTCACCTCCCGGGGGCAGGTATGATGGACTTGAGCAGCGTTTCTCAAACTGGGGTCCGCGGACCCCTGGGGGTCCCCGAGGGTACTCCGGGGGGATCTGCGGGCCCCGCTGATCAACTCCTCCCCCTCCCTCCCTGCGCCTCCTTCACGCCGGGGAACAGTTCCCCGGCGTGAAGGAGGCGCTGGGAGGGAGGGGGAGGAGCAGGGGCCCTGGGTCCGTGCCGCTCCTGGAAGCAGCCAGCATGTCCCTGCGGCCCAGGAAGGGGACAGGGGGTCTCCGTGCGCTGCCCTCATCCCAAGCGCCGACTCTGCAGTTCCCATTGGCCAGGAACTGTGGCCAATGGGAGCTGCGGGGGCGGTGCCTGCGGGCAGGGGCAGCATGCGGAAACCCCCTGGGCCCCCGCCTAGGAGCCACTGCCAGAGGGATGTGCCGGTTGCTTTCGGGAGCAGCCCAAGGTAAGCGCCGCCCCCCCTCACCTCCTCCAGCACCCCAACCCTCTGCCCCAGCCCAGAGCCTGCACCCAAACTCCCTCCCAGAGCCTGCACCCCTCCTGCACCCCACCCTCCTGTTCCAGCCCTGATCCTTCTCCAGCACCCAAACTCCTTCCCACACCCCCTCCTGCACCCAAACTCCCTCCCAGAGCCTGCACCCCTCACTCCCTCCCACACCCAAACTCCCTCCCAGAGCCCACACCCCTACTGCACCCCACCCTCCTGTTCCAGCCCTGATCCTTCTCCAGCACCCAAACTTCTTCCCACACCCCCTTCCTCACCCAAACTCCCAGCTCAGAGCCCGCACCCCTCCTGCACCCCAATCCCCTGCCCCAGCCTTGTGAAAGTGAGGGAGGGGGAGAGTAAGTGACGGAGAGGGGGGGCAAGGGCTGAGTGGGGGAAGCTTGGGGGTCCCTGAAAAATTTTAAATCAAAATGGGGGTCCTCGGGTTGCTAAAGTTTGAGAACCGCTGGTCTAGAGGGTGAGCGATTAATATTGCCATGCCTGGGAAGAGGCCACGAGAAGCTGCGTTGCTGCAGCTTTACAGATCGGGGGGTAACAGGAAAAGATCCAGGATGCAGACGTGCCGCTTTGAAGGGCTTCCTCTGAAGGGTTTCCGTCGTGGAACGAGCAGCTTGGAGACCAGCCATCTCCCTGCTCGCTTGAGCCAGGTGGCAAAGTCTGGGGACTGACCCTAATGACTCACCTGCCCTAAGAAACGTGCCCTGGCACAGGACATCCCGCTGGCTAGAAACAGCTGCGATCGCCTGCAGACTAACCCACTGGGCTTTGGGTTTCCCCGAAGGCCTGATCTGAACAGCATGGCTAGGACAGGGCCTGGCTCTCAGTGCGTCTCTGGAGAGGGGAAAGCAGCATTTTCCCAGCACAGAGAACGTCCCTCGCTCCTCACCTTCTGCTAGGCTGTGCCTGAGCACCTCTGACTTGGGTTGGGAAGGGCCCTATGCTTTTCTGATGAGCCCCAGACTGCACGAGGTTTGAAACCACACCAGCGTAGCAGGCCATGGCTGTAGGTAGAGACACCGTGGTCATTGGTGGGGCTTGAACCTACAACCACGAGTACCCAAAGCCTATGCTGCTACTGGGAAAGTACTTTTGGATGAAAAAGTGTTAGCCAGCTCTAGTGGGTGGTTTGGTTTTCCTAGGTGGGAGGGAAGGAGTTAATGGAGAGTTTGACCCGAGTGAGAGGGAAGTGGTGAATTCACCATCTCTGGATGTCTTCAGATCAAGATTAGATGCCTTCTTGGAAGTGGCTTTAGCCAACATGATTGGGCTTGATACAGGAGTGACTGGGTGAAATTCTAAGGCTGGCGGTATACAGGTCAGACTAGCTGTTCTAATAGTCCCTTCTGGCCTTAAGCTTGATGAAGACACCTGAGGGTTCACGCTCAGATGCTAGGATGATGGGCAGCAGTATAGACAGATTCAGCCCCATGATGCAGAGTGGCGTCCTTGCTGGCTCATGTTCTGCAGGGCCATTAGTCCCTTGCTAATGTGTGTTCCTGGGAACACTCCACCCACACCCAGCGGCTCCTCCCATTGCAGGTAGCGGTAGGAGGTGTCATGGTACCACTCCAGGAGGCCCATTAGGAGAGACCCCAATGCTCAGCCTCCTCCCTGCTATGTTGGTGGTGCAGCATTGGAGCCCAGGTTCTCACACCAGTGTCCCTAGTGCAGAGGGAGGAAAGTAACCGGTCTCTCTGTGTTCCCCTCCCAACCCTACCTAGTCCAAGGCTCTGAGGGAGAGGTGGCTGCTGGAAGGAGCCCCGTCGTCCGCCTCCGAGGAAGACGAGGCCATGAAGAAGCAGATGCAGGAAGACGAAGTGAAGACCAAGGAGCTGGAAGAAACCATCCAGAGGTAATGACGAAGGAATATAGGGAGGGAGGGAGGGCATCCCCCAGAGGTGAGGGGAGCGGGAGGCCATTGGTGGGCACAGAGTAGGTGGGAGCTGGTCCCGAGAAGAAAGTAGCAGGATACCAACAGCTACACCGAGAGCTTGGAGGCAAATGAAGGTGCTTGTTGGCTTTGCACTAACAACTCACTTCCCCACATCCTTCACCCCACCCCTGGTCTCCCTGCATGCCCCTTCCCTGGCCAGTCTCCGGGATGTCACCAACACTTGTAGCCCCACTTGTGAGGGCCATGCAGAGCAGCTGGAAGAAGCCATGTCCTTCAGGGCTGATGGGACCATCACGCACAGGAGACCCAGTTCCCTTTGCACGTGGCTCCTGCTCGGAGAAACAGCCACCTGGAAAGGGACCCAGATTCACAGCACAAGCCTCAGACCGCACAGAACACACAATTCTGGAGCGTTCGTCTGGAGTCTGAGGCAGCGTGGTTTGAGCAGGCGCCTTCGAGTCAGGACGCTTGAGTGCTAGGCCTGACTTGGGGAGGCAGTGTGATCTAGTGGTTAAAGTGGGGGTGAGACTCTATTCCTGGCCCTGCCTCCGATTTTATTTGTGAGACCTCGGGCAAGTCATCTAATCTCCCTGTTTCTCCGTCTGTGAAATGGAGAACGGGTCCATCCCTACCTAGGGCTTTGAGATTCTCTGATAAGAGGTGGTAAATCTAAGATATTATTATAACCGGGCTAAATCCTGAGCTCTTGACTCAGATCTTATTCAAGCAAAGCCCCTGTGGCAATCACTGGGAATGTTGCCTGAGAGAGAACTGCAGGATTCGTACCCCTGCTAGCAGTGAGTTCGTGTTGAAGCTCTGCAGATACCTCGTGCTATTTTGGCTTCTCCAGTCCTGGAGCGTCTGCTGTAAGTGGGGCCGGGTGTCAGGGGGAGAGCTGTGCACAGCGGTGCGGGCTTTGGCGGGGAATAGGGCGGAGGGGAGCTGAAGGGGGTAGCTCAACTTCTTCAGGCGCATCCAGGCGGCAGGGTGTTGCCAGGAAATACAACGGCCTTGCGCTCCCTGTTCCTTGCACTGCCTCCCACACAGGAGAGCGTCTGACACACACAGCTGAACATTCCAAGTTTCCTCCCTCCGGGAGCTGCTGACCCGGGCAGTTTTCCCATCCTCTCCCCCAAGCAGTGGAGAGCGAAGCCCCTTTCACTGTCTCCAGGGCTGCAGGGACTCAGTTTGGTCTGCAGCCCTATCAAAGTCCGGAGGTTTGTTTTTTTCCAGAGCCGCCCTCCTCCTGCTCTGTCACTTTAAAGCCTCCCTCCCCACCCATACAGCAGCCTTGACCTTTTGACTCTGGTATGCTGGAAGCGAGGGCGGGTGGGAAATATTCCATCTAAACTGTTTTGGGCTGGAAATCAGGGAATTCAATTAAATGGGATTTTGCGCAAAAAGTTTCTGCAGGAAGTTTCAGTTGAGCATCGAACCTCGATGCTGTGATTGCGAAATGCTGCCCCGGTGCCTCGGAGGAGTTACAGTTTGGGTGTCCTGGGCTCCCATTCGGCTATGTGGACCGGGCCTCTCAACCAAACTTCCCCTCCCCTGAGGCCTCGTGGATGTATGACTGCCATGATGCACCTCCCTCCCCCCACCAAAATGAACCAGGGTTTGGAATAGCAGCCGGTGACGGGTTGGGATCACGGAGGGCTGAATGTAGAGAACCTGGGGGTGGAATAGCCGGGGGCGATGGGTCAGGACTGAGCTGCAGTGGAGATGGTCATATAACATCTGGCCTCGCTAACATTGGCCATCTCCAGCCCGTACTGTTCATAGAATATCAGGGTTGGAAGGGACCTAGTCCAACCCCCTGCTCAAAGCAGGACCAATCCCCAGACAGATTTTTGCCCCTGATCCCTAAATGCCCCCCTTAAGGATTGAACTCACAACCCTGGCCCTGGGTTTAGCAGGCCAATGCTCAAACCACTGAACTTTCCCTTCCATTTCTTAAGTGCTAAATTCCCTCCCGTTCAAAGGCCAAGCAGTTTGGTTTTCCCCCTGTAATTTTCTCCTCATGCAGAGGGGATTTCAGAACGCACTTGCTTTGCCCTTGTGGGGGGAGGCCGATAGCCATACGCCCAGCACCCTAGAGCACCCATCAGCGGCAATTAGGAGACGACATTATTTAAAGTGAAAATCCAATAGAGATTGGGAGGGGGGAAAGGGGGAAAATTGAATCCATCAGGAACCTGGGACGCTGTAATGCTGCCCCCGGGGAGGTATGCCTGAACACAGATGGCTTCGCTCCCCCAGCTCTCTCCCTAATGGCATTTGTGCTTTTCACGTTGCTAGAGGCTGCGGGAAGCTTCCCAGCTAGACACAAACTCAGGGCTGAGGGGCGAGGAGCACTTGGTGCCATGGACAAAGCTCCATGACGATCTACAGTAGAGGGATGATCCTAATATTGGCTGGGAGGGGGGCCCATTAGCTGGGCCTTTCCCATCTCTAGCTCGGCGCTCCTATGAGTCTGTGTCTTGCATCCGTCTAGAGCCATTTTGCTTTCTCAGTCTTGGGGACAAAGTGGGTTTATACAGTCTCTGCTGATCTGTGTTCCTGAAATTGATCAGCCCTGAACGCCTGCCCCCTCACCACCTAGACTCTGCCTTCCCCTTCCCCTCCACAGATGACAAAGGGGACATCCCCAAGGAGGCCAGTCACAGCTGCTGCTTGCATGGAAGCACTACCATCCACAGACAAATTGTACTCTGCATTTCACAGCGAGCACAAATCCACCCTGCGGTTTCAATGGGATGTCACCGAGAGCAGAATTTAACCCGTCTGTGCATTGTTACCTACATGCTCAATGTCCTCATTAGACGGAGTGGGAAGTCTTGCCTATTTCAAAACGTGCAACAATTTCCCCTTTGAAATCAAGAGGAGATTAAGTGGGGACATGAGAGCGGTCTTAAATAAAGATATCCTTTCTCCTAGAACTGGAAGGGACCTTGAAAGGTCATCGAGTCCAGCCCCCTGCCTTCACTAGCAGGACCAAGTACTGTTTTTGCCCTAGATCCCTAAGTGCCCCCCTCAAGGATTGAAATCACAACCCTGGATTTAGTAGGCTAATGCTCAAACCACTGAGCTATCCCTCCCCCCCAAACAGTTGAAAGGCTGCTATAAAAAAGATGGAGAAAAGTTGCTCTTTCTTGCCATCGAGGGCAGGGCAAGAGGCCATGGGTTCAAACGACAGCACAGCAGATTTAGATGAAATCTCAGGGAAAAGTTCCTGGCTGTAAGAACGGTAGGACGATGGAACAGACTGCCTCGGGAGGCAGTGAAGGAGCTTTCACTGGAGGTTTTCTAAAGGAGGCTGGACAGCCATCTGTCTTGGATGGTTTAGACACAACAAATCCTGCATTTTGGCAGGGGGTCAGACTAGATGACCCTTTAAGAGGTCTCAGGGATGGGGCGGTCACTTTCAGACTCGTTAGAACTCTCAGTCCAATCAGAGTACACTGAAGCATGTATGCGATCTGATTGGCTAATGGCCTGGATAGCACTGATTCCTGGGGAGCAAGGTATGGATTCCCTCACATGGCTGTTTTCAGACAGCTGGGATCTGGGATTCGTCTCCTGTATGGAACAGTGCGCATGTGGTATCAGACATTTATTGTTATTTAGTAGGTGGCATTGGCTGGATAGTCGGGAAGAAGTCGGACCGCTGTTTAGCTTCCCAGTGGATATTGAACACGGCAGCAACCAAATCTGGAGTGCTGGCTTTGCAGTCGTATATCTTAGGAGACTTAGATGAGTTAGAAGGAAAAGCGAGAAACGTTTACCCTCTCCCAGTAACCTCCTTCCTGTTCATTCAGCTGCCAAAGAGCAGAAAGAAAAAGCCAGCAGCAAAGAAGCTTTGCTAGGAGAGGTATCCCAGCAGCCAGAATGCAGTAAATTACTCCCTCTCTGTCATGCTGGCCATTAATTACAGAGAATCAGTGCAGATATAGGTCAGATCCAAAGAGGCCATTGTCCCTGTTTTAATGGCACAATGGATTTTTCAGAGACTGGAGAGGGGAAGGGCGCTTTACAAACAGGAGACAAAAATAAAAATCTGCTGAAGGGGACACTGTCAAAATAAAAATTGTGCGTGTCCAGGCCGGATGGTGATCTAAGCTATATGGGTACAAATCTGGAGGAAGTTCACTGACATCCCGGTTCTATACCAACAGAAGTGAGGTCAGAACGAGGCCTCTTTGTTTAAAAATTCCCTGCCTGAATTGCTAATAATTAGAACTAGTTGAGAAACGGGGACAGGTTTTTATGAGAAATTGTGAAGCTTTGGGGGCAAAAAGCTCAGCAACATTTGTAATATTTCATCTGACTAATAACATAACAAATATTTCAGCTGACTAATCACACCGAAAACCCACAGAGCGCGATTTTAGTCTGATCCAAAGGCCGTGGATGTCAATGAAGGTCTTTTCATTCCCTTTGATTGTTTTGGGGTCGAAACCTTGCACCGTGTTGGTTTCCGTGAGGCTGCTCAGCTGTAACAAGGATTACATTTGCCCCACGTCCACTTTGCCAACTCTCGCAATTTAATTTTTAATTTAATTTTATTGCGAGTCTCATGATGTTTGGAGCTTTTCTTACATTGCCAGCTCCTGGAGTCATGTGAATATAGAAAAATCTTGGCTTTTATTTTAAAAAAGTTTCTGACCTTCACGGTTGCAGAGAAAAGTTTGAAAGCATGACCTGTGAGTGACCTAAAGGCTCCAAAACCAGAAAGCAAATACCCAAGCTATATTATTTATTTAAATCTCATGATTTTAAGCCAATATTTTGGTTCTTATGGGGCCGGACTCCTGATTCTTGAATGCTTGAGCATAGCAATTCTGCAGTTTTAAAAATCTGATTTCATTCTCACTACTGATACGGTTTGTTTGTGGAGGATTTTTTTGTTTTTGTTTTTTGCATTTTACTCAGGTAGCGAAACTAGTCTCATTGGTTTC